GTCAGAATCCTATAAGGACCATAATAATTGGTGAATCATATGAAACTACTGTAATCATAACTCAAAAATGTATACCCCAATCAACCAGGCAAATAGAAAATCCTTGAGAGAAATATAAGCACCCATCAACCAATGACTCCTTCCCCTCTTTCCTCCCAGTTACTTCCTTGTCCTCTGGATCTTCTGAAACCCTGGTCAAAGATAACATAAAAAATGAGTGTGGATGTGTCTCATTATCTTTTTTGTTATCAGTACATTATAGTGTTTACTGATAATACACATTTTTAAAAAATTTTTTTTGGTGAGGAAGATTGGCCCTGGGCTAACATCCATGCTCATCTTCCTCTACTTTATATGTGGGACGCCTGCCACAGCATGGCTTGATAAGCAGTGTGTAGGTCCATGCTTGGGATCCGAACTTGAGAACCTCGGGGCCCCGAAGCAGAGCGCTCAAATTTGACCACTACGCCACCAGGCCAGCCCCGATAATACACATTATTGATAATGTTGATTGATATAGTGTTTATTTCTGATGCTATAATAGGTGTCATTAAAACAATGCATTCCCAAACTTTTAATTTATAATTAAATCTCAGAAAATGGGGGCGAGCTAAATTCTTTGTCAGGTCTCTTTGTTCCTGGAAGTTATCTGTCCATCATGAAGAGGATCAGAAACCAGAAAAATAGGCTACTTTATTTACCATTTACCCACATCCCATTTAATCTATCTTAGTTACAATAAAAACAATGGACTTTGCTTTAATTAGCACTACTGCCTCTAGGTGACTAAAATTAGGGAACTACTTTGGAGTACAAATTTTCCCTGAACTAAGAGTACAGGGTCTATACTAAGAACTCTTTCCAAAATTTCCTAATGCATCCAAAATCTCAACAAATCTTTTGTAAGGTGTGTTTGAGGTTGCATATGGTATCTCCGTTTGGCAAGTAAGGAAGCGAAGAATCAGGTGACCAGGTAACTTGTCCTAAGTTATAAAATCAGCAAATGGCACATCCAGGATTCCAATCTCTCTTTTCCCGGCTCCAAAGACATTCTACTTTCTCTGACTTTTAAAGTGATAGTAGAGGGAGAGGGTTGGGTGTTTCCCTCCTCTCCTCTCTTGTGGGACTCATGGCTGGAGATACCGGACTAGTACAGATGGAACGTGACAGATTTATCACGTGTCAGAAAACAATGGAGACACATTGCAAGTTATGCTCCTGCCGTTAAGCACAGGCCATTTTCCACATAATGGCGTTTGATTATTGATCAGGTCACTTTAAGATGTTTGCTCTTGCGGCCGGCCCCATGGCGTAGCGGTTAAGTGTGCGTGCTCCAGCAGCCCGGGTTCGGATCCAGGCCGCACACCCGCGCACCGCTTGTCAAGCATGCTGTGGCAGCATCCCATATAGAGTGGAGGAAGATGGGCACGGATGTCAGCCCAGGGCCAGTCTTCCTCAGCAAAAAAAGAGGAGGATTAGCATGGATGTTAGCTCAGGGCTGATCTTCCTCACACACAAAAAAAGATGTTTGCTCTTATCCGTGCCAATATTTTAGTTGGCCAAATTACTTGCTACGTATTTGATCAATTTTTTCATTGTAAATTCATACCATATGTCTGACCTGCTGCTCAAAAATATTCATTTCTAAAGGATTGATATGATTTATCCAAATTGAACTTAAGCTTAAAAACTTTAATTTTTCTACTTATAACAACAAAAGCTTTTAGATACTAATGATTTGAGTAGTGGTACAGAGTTAACTGGTATGTTTTTTGCAGCTTATTTTTCCCTTTAGTTTTCTTTATAATTCTTGTCCTTAAGGTGGAATTCCCATGATTTGAACCCCTGGAGAAAAATCATCAACTTAGGATCTCCTGGAATATTTATTCCTTTTTTTAGTAGCTGTTGTATAGTTCCCAGCTGCTTCGTCCCATATTCCTCCCTATGGTGTTTTGCTATTTTAAAAAATCTATTCACACTACTAGATAATCAAGTTTAGAATTGGGACCATACCTTTTGTCCCTTATAGCCCCTCACTTGTGCCGTGTCTTATCTGATGAATTGGGTGTCTTATGGTCTGTGATCTGAGGATGCTGTGAATATACCTCAAGGGCTTCCAATATAGTTTTATTTCTCTTCTACTTTCAATGGTGTCACATGACATCTACTTAAAAGTATATCAAAAGCACCTTTTCCTCTGTAATTTTTTTTTTCATCAATTTTCTTTATTTGGAATACTTTGGTCACTTCCAGTCCTTACTCTTTCTAAATACTTTCTAAATATTTTCCTCTTTCTAAAATGTTTAGAAAGAGTATAAGCCTTCTCTCAAGGCTTACCAGTGCTGGTAAGATATGTCGGATTTTTGCTCTTGTGGTGTCATCAATGTCACCTGCTCTCATTTAGTGTCATTTTTGTCTCATTGTGTCTTATAACCTCTGTTCATTGTTCTTTGCTCCTAGTGCTTCTTTTATTTTTTACATCCCATTTTCTCTGGCTAACCTGTATAGGGAATATCTGAATTATGTTATAAAGCCTTTTTGCTGTTGCTGTTTGTCTTTTTTATTTTCAGGAAAAAGATTGTGAACTTTTCTTCTGAGAATATTTTAGGTAGCCTGTTATAGTAGAAATGGAATGGGGTTTAGAGTTAGTTGGAACTGAATTTGAATTTTGATTCCATTAAAAAGTAGCTGATGTCCTTAGAAAAATGATGACAATTCTCTAGGCCTTCATTTACTCTTCTATTAAATAAGGATAATACTACTAACCTTACCAGATCAGTGGGAAGCTTAAAAATAGCATATGTAAGGTACAACTTCTGCCCCATAGTAAGTGTTCGATTATTATTGGCATTATAATTATTATTTTATCATAATTCTAATTAGGTGGGCCATCTCACATTTGAATTAAGAACTAGTAAGTGATAATGCTGTATTTAAAGGAGATAAAGCAGAAAATAAATTATAGTGCCTGGCCTTGGGGAGTTTATAATCTTTTAAAGAAGGTGAAATATATACCCAAAACATCTAAGACAAATACCCATTATTTTTGGAGGTAATTATGTGATAGTTGTAAACACTATAAGTATTATGTAACACATCACAGAACACACTCTGTGGTTTGTTTGTTTATTGATTGATTGATTGATTTTTTGGTGAGGAAGATTGGCCCTGAGCTAACATCTGTGCCAGTCTTCCTCTATTTTGTATATGGGACGCCACAACAGCATGGCTTGATGAGCAGTGTGTAGGTCCACACCCAGGATCTGAACCTGTGATTCCTGGGCCACTGAAGCAGAGTGTGTGAACTTAACCATTATGTCACTGGGCCAACCCCTCCATGGTTTATTTATATTTTGAAGATTAGGGAACTGAGAGTTAAAGAGTGAGAGAGAGGGGCCTGCCCGCTGGCACAAGCAGTTAAGTGTGCGCGCTCTGCTGTGGCAGCCTGGGGTTTGTGGGTTCCAATCCCGGGTGGGCACCGACACACCGCTTGTCAGGCCACGCTGTGGTGGCGTCCCATATAAAGTGGAGGAAGATGGGCACAGATGTTAGTCCAGGGCCAGTTTTCCTCAGCAAAAAAAGAGGAGGATTGGCAGATGTTAGCACAGGGCTGATCTCCTCACACACACACAAAAAGAGTAGGGATAATATGTTGACCCCCTGGTCTACAAGGCTGCGAAGGGACCTGCAGGGACTGGTGCATAGATCCTTCTGACTCGAAGATGTATTTGTAACCTCTGTGCTATACTGCTTCCATGAGAGAATGGAGCAAGTACTGTAAGACGTACATAGTAAATGCCACAGAGCCTTGAAGAGGTAAGCTGAGTCTTGACGGGGCTGATCACAAGAGACCTTTTGGAGCAGGTCACATTTGTGGTGGATCATGGAGATGAACAGGCTTTCAACAGGCACAGGTGAAGAAGGGAGTGGTATGAATACAGGCAAGAGAGATGGGTCAGGATTTTTCTGCCATGTGTTTTCTGGGAGCATTTAGTTTAGCACAGTACATGTGGGGACTAAGGGAGAAAATACTGGAATATAGGTTTCTGCTGGGTGAGAGGGGTCCTGGATTTTTCTCCCCAATGAACAAGGTGAGACTTTAAAGGATCTGAGTGTTATGACACAGTCAGAGCTCTGGATTAATAAGGCTTACTTTGCAGAACGGTGTAGGACATTTTGGAAGTGAAGACAGTATATCAAGACTCCACTTGGGAGGCTATTGCAAGAATCTAGAAAAGACTTAAGGAGAGCCTGACTTAGAGCAGTGACAGAAGGAATGGAAAGGAAAGGACAGACGTGAGAGACATTGAAGAGGTGGTCTGGCTACTGGCCGTGGGTAGAAGGTATGCAAAAAGATGGTAAGGTTCTACACCTGGTCTCCTCCAGGTCTAGAGAGGAGCAGTGGTTCCAACAAGAGAAATGGTGTCACTAATTTCACAAGAAAGGCAAATAAGTATCACCATAAGACCCAGTGGAGCCTTTTGGCCTGGACCACCAATACTAGGGCTCTTAGATACAGCCTCCTCCGGTGGGTCTTCACTCTAGTCTATAAAGTGGCTTGAATTTTTTCCATTGCTATACCATGAGTGCTAATACAATGCCTTTGATTTTTATTAAGAGGGCAACGTGGAGGGAGTGTGCGTTTGTACAAGCTGTCAGCGCTGAATCTCTTTGATAAACTCTTGGGAATCTTACAATCCCAATCAAACAAGTGTTCTGCTCAAGTCCTTCTGTTTCCCAGGGCGGATGTCAAAGGGAGCGTGAAATTTTGTTTGCGGGTCAATGACTAATATAGGAAAGGGAAATCCCACAGGGAAATTCCGTTTTTCTCCAAATGTTGCTCCATAGCATTAAATTTTATGTTATAAGTGAAAGAAAATGTATGGCATTCATCGAAGGGCGGGTGAGGGGTAAGTCAGTTCAGACATGGCGCTATTGCCATTTAAGGGCTCTGAGTAATGTTCGCTTTTTTTCCCCTTCCTTCCAATTTTCTTGGTCAGTGTTTGTCAGGTTCAACTCCAGCCATGGTTTCCCAGTGGAGGTCGATTCTGACACCAGCATCTTCCAGCTCAAGGAGGCGGTTGCTAAGCGACAGGGGGTTCCAGCTGACCAGTTGCGTGTGATTTTCGCAGGGAAGGAGCTTAGGAATGACTTGACGGTGCAGGTGAGTCTCCCTTGGTGGCTAGTTCCTGGGATGCGGCCAGCCCCATAGCTTATGCTGCTTACGCTGCCAAGCTGACATTTGTGCCCAAGATCTAATAGAATAAATAGCACCTGGGGATTCCTTGAACTTTACTCCACATCGCTTCATTAATTCTGACCTTCTTAATTATGCACTAAAACAGCAAGCAGGAAGGATTGGAAGAACAACAACTGTGAGTGAGAGAGCAAAGAAGAGAGAGAGAGAACACACAAACTGGGCTTAGTGAATAAATGTTTACTGACTACAGGAGCAGCAAGGCACACTTTCTGTGTCTGTTCAATTTCTACCTTACTTATTCCATTTGAATCTTAATGAAGAAGGATTCAAATAAATTGTTCTTAATCAGGCTGCTCAGTCACTGCGCTGTGAGGAATTTGCAACCCAATTGTGACCCCTGGAGGATAGTCATGAGTCTGCTGCTGTGGCTCGCTAGAGGAGGTGCGGGGCTCAGGGCCCCATTCACAACAAGCGTCGCGAGTTCCCTGCCCCATCAGAACTGCACAGTTCCGAAGCTAGTGGCGAAGGAAGACTGAAGCATACCAAAAGTCCACCTTTGTATTTAACTTCTCCAAGCTTCAGTCAAGTTTTCCTTAGAATAGGCCACTGAAACGTTGGAGAGGGTTAATGCATGCCTTCTCTCCAGGTCCTGATGCTTTCGGGGCACCACACTGCTCCTAATACCATTAAAGCCCCCTATGCTTTTCATCTGGGTGTTTCATTCACAATGGTGATTTCTGTAGGAATAAGGGGAGAACTGGTTAGGCAATTGACGAAGAGTGCCATCACCTAGAAGTGGAGACCTGTAATTTGTTGGAAAGCCAGCAAATACAATTCAACATGGATTGAAATTTTTCTTTGTGAAAACGTGAAAGACCTGATGCTTTTTGTGGATGGTTCAGGTGATGCTGAAGGACCCCGCAGACACATTTTGCCCCTTTCGTAACCAGCACAGATTAATTGCACTCATGTTTACAGCTGTGTAGGGGCCACTGCTGTGCCCAGTGGAGCTGCCGTGTCTGGCTACACGGAGTCCCACCTTGTCTTGGTATCCTATCACTGTCTCTTCTCGGTGATGATATTTTCTGCTTTGTGAAATGCTTTTGGAATTTGGGCGTGCAAAAGAAGTTATAGAGATGCAGATGGTTCTCTTCCTTCTCCAGGGCATCACCTGCCTGATGGGATGGCTAGAGACACTTGTTTATTGTGCGCAAACTGCTCTGGTTTGCTTTTAGGCAATTTGTTTTTATAAGGGAAGTGCCTGTGCTAAAAAGTGTTTTGATTTTTTTTTATTTCAGTCAACTAAAAAGCTTTTACTGTACCTGCCATCCTCTAAATCCAAGAATGTTTCCTTCACAAATAAACAATTTTAAAACAGCTCCTTGAACCAAAATATTTTATTTTTCTGGATGTTTTGAAGTTGCAGGTTATAAGGCTACTCACCTCTACCATTCAAGCAGATAGGTTAGACTAATTGCTGCAGACAATTGATTTTAGAAACATGTATGCATAAGATATTTATTGATTTCGATTCTTTATTTTGACATTTTTTTTTTTTTCGCTGAAGATGATTTGCCCTGAGCTAACATCTGTTGCTAATCTTCCTCTTTTTTGCTTGAGGAGGAGCAGCCCCGGGCTAACATCTGTTGCCAATCTTTCTCTTTTTGCTTGAGGAAGATTATCCCTGAGCTGACATCTGTGCCAGTCTTCCTCTATTTTGTATGTGGGTCGCCATCCCAGCATAGCTGACAAGTGGTGTAGGTCCACACCTGGGAATGAACCTGTGAACACAGGCTGCCGAAGCAGAGCATGCGGAACTTAACCATCATGCCATGGGTCTGTCGCCTTGGCAAGCAATTTTTAAACACCTTCAATGTTCTGGGCTTCTCAGGGGATTCTGAAGAAACACATAACTCATCCCCAGCTTTTGTGGAGACTGCTATTTATTTAAGGACTCTAAAATCAACAGAAATATTAGACTGAACCATATGGCATAGATTAAAACTATCGGCAATTTCACGTGGTTCAACTTAATAGGTATCAAATAAGTACGTCAGAACTGCCATATGACAACTGAAATGTAAGTATTACGAAGTTTTAAAGGCAGAGAAAACACGTCTGATTTGGAAGTCTCCAAGAAAGACTTCATGGATGAATTGAAACTCAGGTAGGATTCCAGAGATGCAGAATAAGTGTGGAGCATGCATGGGAAAAAGCATGAGTTTCTATTCTTCTAGAACTTAGAGGAGATATTGAAGATTGGGCAGGACGGGAGTTTGGAGCTGTGCTTTACAGAGCCTTGTCTGGGTTGGCATCGAGGTTTCATGCGTAGAGAGAAACAGGAGTTTGGACATTCAGTTTGACTGTGGGAAGGATGGAGAAGTTTTATTCACGATGAGAGTTGATGCCAGCAGGAGGTGTGTGTGGAGATGTCTAGCGGGTAGTGGAGAACTTCAGGGTGGAGCCTAGGGGCTCGCTTTATATTTCAAGATGAGCTATGGAGAGGTAAACATTGCCGTTACTGGAATAGATGCGATTGTCAAGGGGCAGAAAACAGAGGCGTGAGCAATTCTTTCACTTAGGGAGCAAGAGGAGGAGCCAGTAAAGGAGGCATCATCCATCCAACTGAGGCTTTTGAGAATATTTGGAAAAGGAAATTACTAGTAAAGAAGCATATGTGCTGTGAAGGGATGAGGAGAGTGAGGAAGAAGGGAGCCTTGGACTTGGGACAGTAGTGGTGACTTAGGGACCTTCAGGCCTCCAGCCCAGGACAGTGGTTGGTGAAAGCCAGGCTGCAGGAGTTCAGTTCACAGGTGTGTGTACTGAGCAGGGCTCAGCTTGTCAGTGAGGGAAGGAGAGACAGAAGGGAGTTCCTGGAGGGGCAGCGGGTCCTACTGTGTTACATTCCCTAGCCCTTGATCGTGTGTGTAGCTGACTTGTACAGTTGTAATCAGTGTGAAAATGCAATTTTATCTGTATAAGAAGTGATTTTCTTTCATTTAACATCAAGCATAAGCATTTTCCATATTGTTATATAATCTTCATTTCTACGTGTATGGATGATACTCTATAGAGTGTCCATATTATAATCTAGCTCTTAAGTATTTGGGAGTGTCTAGTTGTTAATATTACAAATTAAGGCAAAACAATTTTTAAAAATGTGTTTTGCATACTTAGAGAATGTGGCCTCTCTATGTTTTAGTTTGCTCATTTATAAAATGGGAATAATAATCATACCTATCTCATTGGAATTTAGTGAGGATTAAATTAGTTAATTTATGTAAAGCTCCTACAGCAGAGTGTGACATATAGTAAACACTATATAAATGTTAGTATTTATTAGCATTATCATCATCATGATTGTCATGATCATTATTAGGCAGTTACTTCAGAGCCTGAAATAACCTTAAATAATGCAAGACTCTTTTCCCTCATGAATTATGATGAATATATCTGCAATAAATGAAAGACTTAAGGCAATGGTAATAGGATATGTATTTTACTGGGGAAAATATATCTATTTGTATGTGTGTATATAATATTTATACATTTTAACTAAAAAGAAGTCTGTGGAGTTTATAAGTAAATTTTTGACCCTTACATATACAGGTTTTACTTATCTTAAAAATAGAATTTGAATTTAGAAAGCTTAAAAAGACTTTACAATTCCTCTAAACAAGTTTAGTAAAAATAGAAACCTATAGCTATAGTGTTCAGCAAAGATTCATCATGGTATTATTGCTTTTAAAATATATTTTCATAAAGCAGGTTTCTACCACACACTGTATTTGTCATAAGCAAGTTGGAAAGAGTTGTACAATTTTTCCTGCTTCATAAACAATGTTTCTGTGCATGTTTTTATTATTTTCTTTATTCCTGCAAGTATGCAATATAAAATATTTATCTTTGATGTATTATTCACGGTGGATTATTTTTTCTTTGTAAAGATTTCTTGTCAGCTCTTGCAACAGAGTATTCAGGGCACATTCAAATGATGGGTCACTCTTTCTCCTACTGCCCAATCTAACCTACTACATATCAAAAATCTCTGAAGTCATCTCTAAATAATTATAATTTTAAATGTATTATTCAGAATTAGACAAGGAAAATAAAGTTTTAATGTAGCTGTATATACCAAAACTGGTGAACTTTATAATTAGATTGACTATGAAAATAATAGGGACTTCAGAATTTATATGAGACTTTGAGCAAAATTTGTTGTATTCACTGTATTATTATTAATATCATTAATATCAGTATAGGTTTATTAACCAGTATATTAGTCAAGAGTTGTCCAGAGAAACAGAACCAATAGGATATATATATATATAGGGTAGATAGATAGATTTATTATGAGGAATTGGCTCTCGCGATTATAGAGTCTGACAAGTCCCAAGATCTACAGTCTGCAAGTTTAGTTCTAGTCTGCAAACCAGAAGAAGCTATGGTGTAGGTCCAGTCTGAAGGCAGGCAGGCTCAAGATCTAGGAAGAGCTGATGTTCCAGTCCAAGTTCAAAGGCAGAAAATAAACCAGTGTCATGGCTAGAAGGCCCTGGGGCAGAAGGAATTCTCTCTTACTCACAGGAGGGTCAGCCTTTTAGTTCAGGCCTTCAACTCATTAGATGGGGCCCATCCATATTGGGAAGAGCCATCTGATTAAATCAGTCTACCAATTCAAATATTATTCTCATCCCAAAACACCCTCACAGTCACACCTAGACTAATGTCTGACCAAATGTCTGGGCACACCATGGCCCACTCATGTTGACGCACAAAATTAACCATCACAGCCAGGATATGAGAAATCTTGTTATATTTAATTAATGTTATAGTGAAGGCACTCTATTTTTATTCTCTTTGTAATAATGAATTTGACTTACAAAAGAGAAAATAAAGGATGACTTCATTTTACATAGAAATTTTGGCTTTATGAAAGGATTCATCCAGATGGATGTTCATAAATT